CAGGTTCTGAGGCATAACTTGAAATCAGGTGTGGTGAACCTCCAACATTATTCTTTTTGCCTAGGATTGCTTTGGCTATTCAGGATCTTTAGTGCTTCAAAGTGAGTTTTTAATTATTTTTTCCCGTTTCTGTGTGGAATAGAATTGGATTTTTAAATTAAGCTTGTTCTTTCACAATTTTACACATGTGTATAATGCATGCTGTCTGAGTAGTTCTCATCTTGTCTCTGTCTCTTCTAACCCCATTAGTGCCTCTCCCTTTTCCAGATACATGACTTCTGTTTTGTTTTGTCACTCCTGGAGTTTAAGCAGCGCCATCTGTGTGGGTTTTGATGGAGATGTACTGAATGTACAGATTGCTTTCAATAAGCTGGCCACTTCCAGAATAGTAATTCCACCAACCCATGAGGATGGGAGGGCTTTCCATTTTCCTGTGCCATTTTTACTCTTCAGCACTTTAGTTCTCATGGTAGAGATTGTTTGTTGTGATAAGGTTTATTCCAGTTGTTTTTTCTTTTAAAGGTAATCGTGAATGCAACTGTTTCACATTGTTTGTTCTTGATGTGTAGGACACCATTGGTTTTGCTATGCTAATTATATATCTTTCCATTGACTGACAGTGATCATCAGCTCTAAGAGATTTCTTGTGGAATGTTTAGAGTTTCTAATATATAAAAGCATATCACATGCAAATAAGGACTTCTTCCCTATTTGCATCCACTTGTCTTACTGCTCTAGATAAGACCTAAAGCATTCTATTAAATAAGAGTGAACAATGTGAGCAGCCAGGCATGGCCATGCACCTTTAATCCCAGCATTTGAGAGGCCAAGGCAGGCAGACCTCTCTCTGTGAGTCGGAGGCCAGCCTGCTAATGTAGCGAGTCAGCCAGGGCTATGTAGAGGGACCCTGCCTCAAATAAAAGGTCAAACTGTGGCACCTTTGTTTTATTTCTGTTTTGGGGAAATGCTTTGAGTTAATATCTTGTTAGCCATAGGCATATCATAGGTAATCTTTATTATTTTGAGTTATGTTTTTTCTACTCTCATTTCCCTCAGGATTTTTATCATGAAGTTTGTTACATTTTGTCAAAAGCAATTTATATATTGAGATGATCATGTGATTTCTGTCCTTTTATATGATGTATTGTATTCCTTATGTGTATATTTAACTATCCCTGCATCTATGGAATGAAGCCAGTTTTATCATGGTGACTAATTGTTTTCATGTGTTCCTGAATTCTATTTGAAGTATTTTATTGAGAAAATTTTACATCTATGTTCACCAGGGAGATTAGTTTGTAGAACTTTTATTGAGTCTTGATCTGAAATTGCTATCAAGGTAATACTAGTTTATTGAAAAGAATTTGGCAGGATCCATTATCTTTCTTTTATGTGGGACAGTTTGGCAGTTTTTGGTGTTGGTTCTCCAAAGATCTGGTAGACTTTAGTAGGAAATCCACTTGATTTTAAGTTGGGAGGTTTTTGTTGTTGTTGTTGTTGTTACTATTTCAACATCATTGTTTGTCATGGAACCACTTGAGTTATTTATGTCACCATGGCTAATGTTGGTGGGCTACATGCATCTAGAATCTCACCCATTTCTTTTAGATATTCTATGTAAGTGGAATATAAGGATTTTAGGCATGTCCTTATGATTTTCTGAAATTTGTTGGTATCTGTCTTAATGTCTCCCTTTTGATCTCCATTTTTATTAATTTGGATCTTTCTTTTGGCTGGCTTGGCTAAGAGCTTGTCAGTCTTGCTTATTTTCTGAAAGAACAGCCTCTTCGTTTTAGTGATCATTTGTGTTTTCTCCATTTCTATTTCATTAATTTCTTCCATGATCCTAATTATTTCTTTCCATTCTCATTTTATGGGTGGCTTGTTCTAGTTCATCCAAAGTTTTTTGTTTTGTATTGTTTGAAACAGGGTGTTGGGCAGTGGTGGTGCATGCCTTTAATTCCAGCTCTCGGGAGGCATAGGTGGGAAAACGTCTGAGTTCAAGGCCAGCCTAGTCTACAGATTGAGTTCCAGGACAGCCAGGGCTACACAGAGAAACCCTGTCTTGAAACAAACAAACAAACAAACAAACAAACAAGCACAGCCAGGGCTACACAGAGAAACCCTGTCTTGAAACAAACAAACAAACAGACAGACAAACAAACAAACAAACAAGCACAGCCAGGGCTACACAGAGAAACCCTGTCTTGAAACAAACAAGCAAACAAACAAACAAACAAACACAAAAGAATAAAAAGAAAGAAAAGTGTATTTGCTGGGAATAGTGGTGCCTGCCTTTAATTTCAGCACTCTAGAGGCAGAGGCAGGCAGATTTCTCAGTTCTAGGCCAGCCTGGTCAACAGAGCTAGTTTCAGAAACATCTCTTGAAAAACAAACAAACAAAGAACCTCCCCCCAAAAGAAGAAAGAGACAGAATCTCACTATGTTACCCCAACTATCTTGAAACCTTCTATGTGGACCAAGTTGGCCTAGAACTCACAAAGATCTGCTTGCCTACTGAGTTCTGGGATTAAAGGAGTGTACCACCATGCCCAGACATGCAAGCTTTGAGATGTATTTTGAAATCATTTCTTTGGGATCTCTCTAATTTTGAACACAGGTACTCTCAGCTACAAACTTACCTCTTAAGACAATATTCATTGTATGCTACATCTTAATGTGTTGTATTTTCATTTTCATTTGATTATAGGAATTTTCAAACTTCTTTCTTTATTTTTTAAATGACCCATTCATCTGTCAATAGTGGGCTGTCAAAGCTCAGTGAGTTTGTGTATGTTGTGTATCTTCTCTTGCTGACGAATTCTAGTTTTACTCCATTGTGGTCAGAAAGAATACAAGAAATTTTAATAGTGTTCTTATATTAGCTAAAACTTAGTTTATTTCTTATTATATTATCTGTACTCGAGAAAGCTCCATGGGCTGCTGAGCAGAATGTGTGTTCTTTTGACAGTGTTTGAATGGGGTGTTCTGTAGATGTCTGTTAGATCCAATTTCCTGTGATATTACTCAACTCAGATATTTCTCTTTATTTTTTTTTTGTCAAGATGACATGTTTATTTGTGGAAGAGTACTGTTGATGGCACCAACTATTATTGAGTTGTGGATATTCTGTATTTTCAAAACTTGCAGTATTTAATTCATCAAATTGAGTGCATCTGGCAGGTATATTGTATAATTTATTTTTTATTGAAAACACTTTTTTTCTCATATAATACATCCATCTTGATTACAGTTTCACCTCCATCTAATCCATATAGCTCCTTCCCATCTCTCCTTCCAACCAGATCCACCCCCTTTCTGTCTCTCATTAGAAAACTAACAGGCTTCTAAAGGATAATAAACAAAATAATAAGATAACACAAAACCAAAGTTGTTGGGATAGAACAAAACAAACAGAAGGAAAAGGGTACAAGCAAAAGCACAGGAGACAGATAGAGATGCAGAGGACCGTGTGTTCACACACTCGGGAATCCTATCAAACACAAAACCAGAAGCCATAATGTATATGTGAAGGGCCCGTGGGTGGGGGCGGGAGAGAAGAGAGGCAGGATGGAGGGGAAGGAGGGAGAGAATAAATAAAATAAAAAAGGTTTTGTTTATTTGTTTTTAAAGCCCTTACACAACATTAGGAGACAAGGAACCTACAAAGATGCTGTTGAGTTTATTTTCTGTTGGCCGTCTCCTGCTGGGCATGTGGCCTACCCTTAAGAGTGCTTGTTTCCCCAGCGAGACTCCCTTGGAGACAACCAAATTTTCATTTGAAAGTGGTTATCACTTGGAGAGAGCTTCTGGGTTAGGATGGCAGTATTGGCATGCATATTTTAAAAAACGGTCGGTCTTAGTTTACTATTCCATTGGTATGGTAAGATGCCATGACCAAGACAACTTATGAAGGAAAGTGTAAATGGGTGGCTGTTCCAGCTATGACCTGGAAGTACTACCCCTAGTGAGGCTTCTAAATTGAGGAACTGGTAGAAACTACAGTGGGCAACAAGCTGACTCAGCAATTCAACAGTCAGCTGGTCCTACTAGGAACAAATGTATGTGATGGCTTCCACTCCCTAGAGATGCCTACCGTCTGAAATCCTCATCACTTCTTCCTTCCTTTTCCTTGGGGAGAGCTCACATGATAATGTTGCTATTTTAAACGGAGGAATCTGTCAAGTCTTGTAAGATTCAGGTGGCCTGGACCTAAAGTCTTCATGCAGTTCTCTGGAATTTACTGCCATGAATATAAAACACAGATTGAAGTCCCCTGTAGTCGTGCAGCTAATGGGTATCACCCAGGGGTGGAGGTATGGTTTGCATTTCTGGCCTGGGTGCTGAAGGTAAGTGACAATTTTTATGTCCATGTCTACATGTTACACCGCCTATCCAGGTGTTCCCCCTGAAGAGAGAGGAAGGAGAAACAGGCATTTCCGAGATGCCAAATACCCTAAAGGAGGGAAGACCACAGCCTGACCTTGCCACATGTTGGACCAGACCTATGCTGACTTCTACCTGGCTGAATTAGATTTTAAATGGACCAGACAAGGCCCAAGTAATAAATAGAGTGCCTTGTCTTTTGGGAAAATAAAATAATATTCATACAAATGAAGTACAGGACACATGCCAAAAGCTCTGAGCAGTTTTCCACATAAGCCTCATGGAAACATGACTTTTCAGCAACATGGCTATGAGGCCTTTTCACCGTAGCTTTGGGCAACCATAGGGAGTGTGACTCGTGATCAGAAGCCCATCTCTCACAGCTGGGTTGGTGGGAGATTGATCCAGTCTTCTTTCTGGAACACACATGATATCAGTTTTCTGTCATAGTTTAGTTTTAGGTATTTGAAGTAGAGATTTAATCTTACTCTTTTGAAAAATAGTGAAGCAACTATTCCCAGCCCCAACTCACTGAGTTTATTGCTGTCCTATGATGTGTCCTTACCTTAAGTGTGTGCTACGGTTTATGGCTGCTTTGCTTTCTCTCTCTCTAGGTTGTCTGGCCTACTCCACTGTCCATGGTGTTCCTTTCAAACTGTCCTTCAAGCTGCTGCAAGAGATAGTTCAGGGGTCGAAAGTGTTTGCTACCAAGCCTGACAACCTCCATTTGATCCCCAGAGCTGACATTGTGGAACAGAGAAATGTCTCCTGAAGGTTGTCCTCAGTGTGCACACATATACACAATAAATAAATGTAAAAATAAAAATAAATAAATGCTCCCAAAATGACCCCCAAAGAATGCTTGTGGGTAGATGTGGAAATCAGCACATACAAGGGAAGTTCCTCAGCTTATTTTTGTACCCACACATTCACTCCATTCCAACTTCATCAGGAATGTGGACCAGCATCACCCCAAACACCAGGTTTTAAACAAGTTCAAGGCAACCAACAACTACCACACAAGGAATCTTCAGCATCACCCCTTTTAGCGGGTTATGTTTTAGCTGTTTTAGAAAAATGTGTATCATTATTTTGAATAGAATAGCCTGAAGTCTAACATAAGATGGGGGAACTCCTTGGATGTATTCCTGTCTGCCCTGAGTCTGTCAAAGTGTCAATGAAAAGCAAAAGGTGCCGTGTTCATAATGCCACCGAGAGTGGATGAGAGAGTGACGTCAGGAGACCTAAGCAAACTAAAGATCCTGTTAAATTTAGGAAGACTATGTGGTCCATAGCTGCTATTTATTGCTGTGTAACAACAATTACTTCAAATGTAAGTGACTTAGAAAACAATAAACGCTTATTATCCTAACTAATTCCTATTGGTCAGGAATTTGAGAGCAACCCATCCAGAGGCTTGGGCTCAGGGTGTCTTGTAAATTTACAATAAAGATGTCACTTGGCAGTTAGTGGGGATTTGAAGATCTACATCCTGGTTAGTGTTTTGTCAACTTGACATAAGCTAGAGTTATCCTGGAAGAGAAAACCTCAATTGAGAAAATGCCTATATTAGATTAGCCTGTAATTTTTTAAATAATAATTAAACGTGTGTGTGTGTGTGTGTGTGTGTGTGTGTGTGTGTGTGTGTGTGTGTGTGTGTGTGCAGCCCATTGTGGGTAGCATCACCTCTTGGTAGTCTTGGGTTTTATAAACAAGCAAGCAAGCTGAGTGAGCTATGGGGAGCAAAGCAGTAAGCAGCATTCCTCCAAGGTCTCTGCTTCAGTTCCTGCCTCCAAGTTCCTACCTTGGCTTCTCTCAGTGATGGTGTATGATCAGGATGTGTAACCTAAATAAAGCCTTTCCTCCCTAAGATGCTTTTGGTCATAGTGCTTATCACAGCAATAGAAAGCAAGGCAGTGTAATCTACTTTCAAAATGTCCTGATCATGTGTCTGGCAGGTTGTTTTCAGTGTTATCAGAAAGCCTCAGTTCTTTCCCAAAGGATTAGAGAAAATAAACTTATGTGGCACTGTCTTCTAGGAGCGCTAAAGCTGATGAATGCTGGAAATGGAGGAGAGAAAGGAGGCTCTGTGGAGAATGTGATAGAATGTTAAAGATAACAATGGATGGGCAAATGGTATAAGCCCATTCAGTAAAATACTATTCACAAATGAAAAGTGATAAACTACTGATAACAGTCTACATTAAGCATGAACCTTAAAACATTTTCTGACCTGAAAGCATCTAGAGGCAATCATCATATTATTTGATTAATTCATTTATGAAATATCTAGAAAAGGCAAAGCAGAATGGTTTAGTAAGACTGAGTTTTCTATTTTTCTATTTATATATTTTATGTTTATATATCAAATATTTATATCAGCTGTGCATGGGCATGAGGGATCTTACTAAGGACATGAAATGTAAACCTGTGTAGATAGTAGTACCACTTGATAAAATTTTTAAATATCATTGCATTATGAATTTGAAGTGGATGAATTTTATGACACATAAAATGTATCTAAATAAATATAGAAATGAATGTATTGAATATAAAAATAACCTCAGGTAATACTTTCATAGGACTATCTTTTCTCATTTTATTAATTCTTTGCGAATTTTGTACTATATCACAGGACTGTCAATGATCTCTTTCCTAATGATACACTTCATCTATTGTTACAGGAGAGAATTTGAAATCTGGCTTAATTTGTGGGACTGTTTAAAACAAATTTTAAAAAATATATTGTATATTTTCTGAAAGAGCAGACATGGGACATGTTCTTTGTGAAAACTTAGATGTGTACCGTGAAGAACATGAGAATGACTTAACTGTGAACATTTAGTGTTTGCTAGGCAACGGCTTCTCACTCTTATTTTGAAATGGGGTCTCACTAAAATGCCCAGACTGTCCTTCAACTTGCAGTTGTCCTGCCTTAGCCCATCCAGTAGCTGAGATTGAGTGCACTGCTGGACTAGCTAGAAGTAGACTTTCAATATGGACACGTTTTTAGTTTTCATGGAAGTATGGGAGACTTTGTTTTCCAAAATGATGTCTTGCCATGACTTCAGTGATTTTACATTTTAATTAATATGGGATAGGAATGTTGAGTGGAGTATAAAAGTGGGGGATTGGCAGTGTCAAGGCAAATTTAATTGGCAAGTATGAGTTGGATAATTGGATTAGCGAGAGAGTTTGTACTGACTGAAATGATTTCACAGATGAGGAAAGCAAGGCTTAGCAGGCTTATGGATTGCTGAGCTTACAAAGCAGGATGGGAAGGAGACCATCCTACTTCCTGCCCATGTTCTGAACCATGAGCTCCTGGTAGGCACCGCATGATTGTGGGAAAAGCACAAAGGCCACGGATGGAATTTCCTACCCACGGTGCACAGTGCCCTAAGCAGACCTGTCCGGTGTCTTCCGATGTGGCTGCTCGTGTAGAGCAAAGCTAGGCTCCACCCTGATGGAGTAGTTTTAACTTCTGGGTCTTCTTCCTCTATAGGTTCTCTCTCGAGTTAAACTGAGGCACTCTAGGCACTGGCTTCAGTTTTAGAATCAGTGATAAGTGTGATCAGATGGGGAGAATCATGAACAAGCCTCCAGAAGTCATGAAAATGACTTCATAACTTTTCTTCATGGGTGAGATAGCTTGAGCCTGCTACTTAGGAAAATAATGGGACTTGTCATGTATTTCCTCTAAATAAATCTGGCTTTAATAGCAGAAGTCCCTGCTTTCTTCACTCTTGTTTATTTTCAGTCACTCAAACTGACGTGTGCTGTCAATATCTCCTCACTGTAAGTGTAAGCAGGAGTATTTAAAGAAAGCAGTATTGTTTTATTTTAGGTTAGCAATTTTCCAGGGCCCACTGGCAGAAGCATTTAGTGCTAAAGAATTGCATGTGTTTGCTTTGTTCTAAATATAGGCTGAACAGCGTGTAGTAGAGCCTGCAGGCTTCAGACCAAAGCTTTGGAATATTAACAAAAAAAAAAAAAAAAAAAAAAATCAAGGAAAGAAGTATCTCTTGCCCAGAATTAAACAAATGAGTCTTTTTTTTTGTTTGTTTTTTGTTTTTTTGTTTTTTGTTTTGCTAACGGCAGGAAACGCACTGAAGGAGAGATCAGATTTTCTATTCAAGTCTTTTGGTGGCTTTTTAATTTTTTTTTCCTGTTTCACATTGTAAAACCAAAGTCTGGCCACTTTGCTCCAGTAACTCATGTCTGGCTAAGTAAATGGCAGCTGGTGTGTGGTCTTACAGGACCTGGGAAAGGCTGGCGGGTAATCGATGCGACTGCTTTGAAAAGGTGCAGCTCTGGCATGTTTTCCTTTGAACTCTGCCCTTAGCATACCTTTAGTTTTATACAAATCTGGCACAATGCCAAAGAGCTTCCATGCAGGCAGTTTGACCTTGGATTGCATCACCAGGGAGAAGGGGAGGGGCTATCAGTGGGTCCTCTTTCACCTCTTTCTCAAATCAGAAACTGTAGATCCTGTGGCCTTCGGATGCTATTTTCAGAGATACACACATTGTCGGATATACATGACATATTTATATACATGTGAGTATATTAAAAACCTTGTGGATGGCCCGTTTGTTGAGCTGTTGTAATAACTTTCACAAATTTAACTTAACAAACAACTGTTCATTCTGCTCTAGCTTGAGGGCTGGAAGCCCAAGATCTCCAACTTAGTAGCTTCCCAGGGATGACAGTGGGGATTTATTCCATTCTTCCTGGCTTCTGAGAGCTGCTGGCAATCTTGGTATTCTTTTCCCCATGATCCCTGCCATCACGCTTGCTTGGCATTTTCCTTATGTGTGTGTTTGTGTGCCCTCATTTGACAGTTTTCATTAGGAAAGCCATGCATTAGATAAAGGTCTGCCCTACTGTTAGCATTTTGACTCAGTCATTTATAGAAGACGCCATTTCTGAATAAGGTCCCATTCATGATTCCTGGGGTTCAACATCTTTTGGAGGGAAACATTTCATTTTCATAATACTTTCTATGTAAGCTGTACCAGCCAGAGTTTAAAGATGTGATGAAGGAAAGTGACTTTAGTTGTCCTCAAGAGGATATAAAAAGAGGTGACTTAGTATGTGGATAGTAGGTTGGTACCAAGGGAAGGTAAGAGAGTAGCCTGTCAAGATAGCCTCTAGGAAGTTTAGCTTATGGTGGTTGGAGTAAAGAACAATGGTCATGTACAGTAGGGAAGACAGTGAGCCTAAGAAAGCCATATTACAATGTACATTTGTGACGTCTCTCAAAGTAGCCATTCTTGGTCTACCTGGAACACAACTCAATGCTGAATCCAGATAATTGGTCACTACCTTGACATAACCATATTAGAGGACAGTACTCAAGTTTTCTTAAAAGGAAATGTTAGATGCAGTGAAAGTACCCTGGTTTTACATTTTACTGATTATAGCAGCAATAATCATCATTATGCTGGTTATTATGTAAAATTCTGTCCCTGCTCATCATGCACTCAAGTTGTCATAATCTCCATTTGTCAGCTGAGAGTTTTGGTGAGACTGAAACTTGGCAAAGTTGTGCTTGAACTCAACTTTCCCTTGATTTTCATATTTTTGATTTCCTAAAACTTATGTAAGATCAGCATTTGTCAGTGAGCAGAACCTGGGCCTCAGCTCTGAATGTCCATAATACTTTTTTGTTTGTTTGTTTGTTTTTGTGGTTTTTTTTTTGAGACAGAGTTTCTCTGTGTAAGTTTGGTGCCTGTCCTGGATCTCACTCTGTAGCCCAGGCTGGCCTCAAACTCACAGAGATCCACCTGGCTCTGCCTCCGGAGTACTGGGATTAAAGGCGTGCAC